TGTGTGTGTAGTTACATATAACATATTAAATTTTAAGTAATTAAACGAACTATGAACAAAAGACGTTAATAAAATTATTGATAATAACAAAAGCTTAAAAAGAATAATTTGATTACCAAATCGCTTTTTAAATCTCTTTAAAAGTAATTATTATATATTAAAGCATGAAAAAATAAGAAACGATCGATGTGAACAAACGAACAAATTATCATTTCCGATTCATAACAGTGACGAAGGCGAATATTGATGATATTGGTGACATAAGATTCAATTTAGATAACTCGTATTTTTTTTTCGTAAACCATTTCCTAATAATTCAATAACTTTAAAAACGTTAACAATCATCAACCGATAATGAAATTATTGAATATATATGGAATCCGGATCTCATGGGTGAAAATTCGGATTTAATCCCAACAAGGACCCTTCATTTTCAACGAAGCAGTAAGAATTGCTTGTCATAATAAAAATCGTTACGAGACCTCAATATATTCCTTAATTTTCCTTTCATCAATTATTAAATATCAGCAAAAGTAACCATAAAAATCCGAATTCACATAAAACAAAATATTATAATGAATTCAATCTCTCTTCCACATAATATTTAAATACTTCACACATGTTTTAATTTTACAAAATATATGTTTCTTCCATAAAATTGTATTTATTCAGAAGATATATAAATTATACTAAATCTTCATGTTACAATTATCTACAATCTCCGCTTTTAGAATTTTGCAATTCTAATTTAGCTTATTTAGAGATTTCTTATGATTTCATCTACCTAAGTTCCTCTACTGATCATCCTTCTGCAGAAACATTTTCCTTCGCTTTCATCAATTTCTCTTTGCATAAATTCTCTCAATGTCTCACTACGTATACTTGTTGCAAATCCTTCATGAAAAGTGCAAACGACAATGCAAATTACATTGCACGACACGCAAAGTGACTGACGATTTGCTACATTTGACGCAGCGGATGCGGGACCGATAACAAGAACGATTGCGATTATGGTCGACTTCTCGAGTCACGTTTAACACGCCTCTACGTCGACGAGGCCTTCATACCCACGATACTCTGCGAACCACAATAGTCTGTGTCACACCAAGTGTACAAATCACGCGGTTGATAGACGCGACGTGAGGCAATCCATTTTCTGGGGCGCTATTGCCCACATCCCTCATGCGTTAATCGTAGTTAATTCGGCTTATCGGCTTGCTAGACGCTAGTCTTACGAGCCAAGCTCGACAAATCGGAAAATGTGACGAGAATTGGGCACGAAGAGTAAAATCCGAAAATGTTTTCGAAGAAACGCACCGGTTATTGCACGTGCCATGAATACGTTGCAATAGAAATTTTAAATAACACACGAAAAATTAAAAAAAATTTACGAAGAGAATAAAATATTGAGAAAGCCGAGACGGAGAAACTACTACAGAAGAGAGATTTTAAGCGGAATATGATCGAGAAAGGGAAAAAACAGTTCTTGAAAAAGTCGATGGATTAATGCGGTTTGATGAATTAGAATTGCTTTTTATAATTTTTATATTTAATTTTAGTTAATTTGTCGTTTCTCAATTTCGTCTTGAACACATATTAAATATGATTACTGTGATAAAGAATAATTAAAAGAATAATTTTCATTCTATTTGTTTTAGAAAAAAATCGAATTTTGAAGAAATGTAAAGAGATTACTTATGTATAGTTATATATAAAATTATGCATAATTATGTAAAAGCAATTTTTTTTACATTTTTTCAAACTTGTTTTTTTCTAAAACAAACAATGAGAAAATTATCCTTTTAATTATTTTTTATCACAATAATATTATTTTTCACAATAATATTATTTCTATTAGTGATAATTTTGCAAAAGAAAGAAGGATGTATGAACATGTATGGACATATTTCATATATAATTATGTTTATGGATATTTATGCGTGTTTATGTATGTTTATACATTTTTATACATTTTCATGAAAAATTTTTTAGTTTATATTTATTTTTTAGTTTATATTTAAAAGTATATATGTATATAAAGATAATAAATTACAGACGTTTGGTCAAAACTGGGTCATCTTTAATATGTCAAAATGATTAGAGAACAAGTATAATTTAAAGTAATGATGGAATATGAATATCATAAAAATATTATTAGCGCGATTAGTACAAAAATTTCCACAGGTAAAACATATAAAATTATCTGGTCGCTATAAATGCAGTTATTACATACTGGGTCGTTGAGTCAATGATGATTCAATTTTGCCATTTCTTATTCGTTGTATCTTTATAATTATTTTCATTTCACATAAATGTTGTACAAATATAAGAATCCCAGGCATAATTTAAGATATTCATGTATATATTATTTATAAAATTAATATAAAATACAAAATTATGAATTATATTGTTAACAATTTTTTAAAATAAAATATATTCTGTGTTAGAAATAATGAATAATTATTTCATTAAATCGAATTTAAAGATATTTTTCAAAAATCAAATAGAAAACGGAAACTTATATTAACTTTTAATAACGTGTGTAGCGTATCCGCGGGCAGAATGATGCCCCCCCCCCCCAGTAAAAAATGTTTTATGCATGAATATGTTTAAATATAAACATATTATATAAACATACATAAACACGCATAAATGTTCATAAATATAATTATATTTGAAATATATCCTTTTTTTGTAAAATTACTTTTTAGCGTAATAATCATAATAATAGTGGACGTAAGAAACGTGGACATAAAAAATAATTAATGGTATAATTTTTGCATTGTTTGTTTTAGAAAAAAACAAGTTTAGAAAAATGTAAAAAAATTGCTCATACATAAGCATAATTATATATGTAATTATCAGAGTTGGGTAAGTTAATATTTTTTTTAACTGAATAAAATTAAAGTCAATAGCTTTACAAAATTAATAAAGCTAAATTAAAAGTTAAAGAAATAAAAAATTAACTTAAGTTAAGTCAATATTGAATTAACTTAAGTTAAAAAAAAAGTTAATTTAAAAAAAAATTATTTTTTTTAGATCATGTCCTAATTTTTCTTAAATAAGATTAAATAATTATGATATAGATTATTAAGTAAATTAAATTGTTAATTTTTTTATTCATATGTGATATAAGTATATAACACATAACGATATAACTATATAAGTTATATAACTTTAAAAAAACAGCCAGCTCATAAAGAAGATACAAGATCAGTGATTACTTTTTAATAATTCTTAAGCCATAAGAAATTGATTCAATTACAATCTAATGCGAGAAGAATATTTGACTGTAATTGGTCAATTTCTTATGATTTAAAGCTTAAAAAATACTTATTATAGATCTAGACTAAGGCTTATGGCATAAGGCATAACTGCATAAACCAATCAGAGAGCTGTATTAGTATCTTAAGAAATTATTTAAGATGGTTTTAAAATATGAACAGATTACGAATATACGTCCTTAGTCTTATTATATCTTATTATTCTTCTAAGATATTTAAAAAAGATAAAAAAATTTCTTAAACTTCTTAACTTAAAAAAAATTTCTTAACTTAAAAAAAAGTTAAAATGTTAACGTTTAAAAATAACTTAAAATTTAATGCATTTAAAATTAACTAAGTTAAGTTAAAAGTTATTAATTTTTTTTTTAACTTTTAACGTTTTAACTAGTTACTATCCAACCCTGATAATTATACATAAGTAATTTCTTTAAACTTGATGTTTTTTAAATAATGTGAAAATTACCTTTTTCATTATTTTTAATGTTTTTACATTACTATTATTATTTCTATTGCATCAGAAAGTATTTTTACAAAAAAAAAAGATATATGAACATTATATGGACATATTTCATATAAAATTATATGTTTATGATTATGCATCTTTATGTATAGTTATACATAATTATACATATTCATGCATGATAAATTTTTTACCAAGTACTGCGCGAAAAATTCTGTATTGTGACTTATAAACTCCTTATCAGTTGTATTTATATCATTATATTATATTGTTATATCACTTATATCTAGTTGTATTATATAAAAATATCTTTATATAAAAATTTTTATGGAAAAAATATTAATATAATTTAAAAAGTTCTTGTATATTCCGCGACAAGTAACTGATGAGTATTTTATGTCATTTATTTTGCTTTATTTGTTGTAAATTTATTTTGTAAATCAACCAAATGAATAAGCTACAATCTATTATGTTAAAATTGATGATGTGAATGTTCAAAAATTAATTATTTATAATCATATGTAGTAGTATTGCATTTTATATATTTATATGTATACATATATTTACACACACACACACACACACACACACACACACACACACACACACACACACACACACACACACACACACACACACACACACACACACACATACGTAATAAGATAAGATTAGTCAATCATTGTAATAACATTATTGTATTTTTTTTTGTAAAGGACAATTTTTTTATTTATATGCATTGCAAAAATATTTTTTAAAATGTACATATTTTTTCTTTGCATCAATTTATAACATATTTAATCTTGAATGAATAATTGAGAATGGGATTAAGGAAAATATAAATGCATAACTCGTTTAATTATAGATTTTCAAAATATTTTTTATTTTTGTGTCATATATATTGAATATATGAATATCCTGTACTAATTTAAAAATAAAGAATCTGTGGAATTCTTTAAATTTTAAAATTCATAATATTTTGTTTATACAAAATTTTTTATTTTTTCTTCTTCATCATTTATTTTATCAATTTTAATTTAAAACTAATTATTTCAGTAATTTTTTTATATCCACCAAGCTTATTTTTATTAAAATACAATTTTGTATATAAATATTTTTTATGTTTCACATTGTTTGTAAAGAAAAGAATTTTTGTTCAAAATCCTTTTGAATTAAAAAATTTTATTATTTCCAATATGTGTTAATCAAATAATAATTCAATAAAATTAAACGTATTTATGTTCTTACTTGATTTATTAATATTATATAATTTTATTAATTTTATATAATTTATAACACTAACTCCTCATTAAATTTTATTTCATTTTCTTTTTTATGTATATTTGTTTGAAAATCCGGGAAAAAATATATATATTACATATTTTATAATAATCATATGTAATTGTACAGAAAATATGTCACTTTTTAATATAATTATATATAATTTTATATTTTTTCCGGGTATAAACATAATAGTCTCAAGTACAATAGTATACCAAAACACTGATCAAGTTGATAAATAATGATAGACAAATTCAAAATTAAATATGTATCATAATTGTTTGTAGCTAATCCATTTTAAAGTAATCTGTAAAGCGTTTATTCATTTCTAATATAATGATAGACCTGTACATTTTTCACAAATTCGTTACCTGATAAAATCTTTGTCACTCACCGATCGATGCTCCGATTTCTCAATATAGAGCCGTGGAAAATCTCCATTATATTTTATTACATCTTCACTAACCGATTAATGGCCTGATCATAGCTGAGATGACTGCGTGTATCAATAAAAGAAGAAGAAGGAAGATCAACTCATGCGCAGCAATGGAATTATCAGCTACGGAGTTACGTGATTCTGTAACATACAAATACAAGATACAAATTAAAATAGCGTTCAAAATAATCAATAATTAAAAAACTAATTTTTATATACATTGAATTTTTAAATAATTTTTCAATTATATATCCATTAAAATAATTATACATTTTCTCAAAATGATCTTTATAAGAATAAATTTCTGTAATGTTTTAAAGATTAATTTTTTTTTAATTATTATTTTTAATGTAATAAAATAAGTTTGCTTACCGCAAAGTTACTCCATTGCTTTTTCTGAACCTCCTCCTCCTCCTCCTCCTCCTCACAAAATTATCAAGCTTGCTTTTCATCTCTGTTCTCTTTCCATTGTTTGCTTTTTGACAGCACCTATCAGTTGAAACAAATAGTTTGTTAAAATTAAAGTTGCAAATAATTGCTAAGGGTGTGCTCTTTTGCATTTACAGTGCTTGTAAACATCATTTATCCTTGTTTGATATTTGATAAATAAGGATGAACTGATGTTTATCATCATGTGAGAATGAAAGCGGAACGCACTCTAAATATTATGCGACTATGTCGTATTTTGTATAGTCGATATTAATTAGATGTGATATGTTGCGACAGCAAAAAAATAAGAACACAAAAAATTTGTCATGCTTGATATTTGTAATATTTTATAAATAAAATTTGGGTATTGGAATGCATCTAAAATAGTAAAAAATTTCTGGACAGTTGACTTTATGCAAAGATGAAACGCTATTTGAATGAATGCATGAATATTGTTAAATATGTACTTGAACGAATTATTGATATAAAATTATTGATATAAATTTTGCTTATTATATAAAATTAATATAAATTTTCCAATTCATTTGGAGCCGATTCGTATTCGCCGCATTCTGCAAATAAAACATAAATGTAATTATAGTATCGAAATGATTTCATTTCTCGCGTAATCAATTTCACACACTAAGAGTTGACGTCATGGCACGGTAGCAATGTGTGTCCTTCTCTTATATGTAAGTGAATATTGAATCTGTAATTGCGCGAACATTAAGTGTTGTAATAAACAACAAATATAGATTTAATATAAGTTTTTAATTATTATTTGATCGATGCTAATCTCGTCTCTTAATTATATTCGCGCTTCATTTACAAATCGAGATGTAAAATGAATCATAGTTATAATTAAGATGAGACAATGAAGCAGCTTCGTTTTTGCGCGGTTAACTTCGCCGATTTTACCAAAATCGATGCGAATGACGCGGCGTAGTGCACTTCTCACTTTTGGCGTCACATTCATGAATTTTCCGTATTACGAGATATATCTGATGCTCGAAATACAAAAATAATACAATTATAAAGGGCAATCGTATATTATAAGCTCGTCTTTTATGATTATTATATCCGTATTGTAGATTGATATTCGAAAATCTCATTGTCATTATTCAAACGATATATTTCAACGAACAAGTTTTGCGAAAAACGCATTTGAACGGATTATTAATATGCGATTACTGAATCTATAGTCGGTAGTTAAATATCGCGTATAAAAATATACATTTAAATTACATATTCAGGTATTATATGAGTTTTAATTACTATATTTGATTGCGCATTTCCACTCGTCGTCGTAAGAGCCAGTCTGTTCCGCCGTCATTCCCTATCCATCGTATTTCACGAATGAAATGTGAATACGATCAAAATAAGGAAGCGGCGTAGTTTTCCGTGTGCGATCAACTTCACGCGTAAAAAGCGACGCGAGACGCGACGAGACGATACGACATCGCGCGTCTTGATTTTCGATTGAACGAGTATGCGAGAAATATACTTTCGACCTAATAATCAGTGTGCTAATACTGTATATACTAGAATTTGCAATACGTAATGTTTACATTATGCGAGAAGTAAAGACAAAGTTAATTATTGATTACCTTAATAAAGAAATCCAACGATGAACGATCCTATGCCGTTTCTCGTCGTTTTTGTGATTTAAGAGATTCCGTCGTTTTATAATTAGCAGAGATTAAAATATGGAGAAAAAGACAATCAATTCGGAAACAGGGCTGCGAATTTTTCCAACGTCGTTTTATATGCAGCAGATTAGAATATGGAGAAAAAAATCAATCAATTCGGAGACAGGGCTGCGAACTTTTTCAACGTTAAAATGATAGGATATATCCCGTCCCCTCCTCAAGTCAAAAGCGTGGAATTACGAATACGCGGTATTTATATAAGCCGTCAAATGGCGAACCCCACCACTCGCATGCCAGCCAATGAGCGCGAAGCGCTCCTCGTTGCGAATGCTTATTGGATCGCACTAGCTTCCAAATATGATATATAAACGCTATGCACAAATTCTTGAATTCTCTCAGTCTTTTTTGAAATTTAGGACCGTGCGTTTTATAAAAATAAAGGAGCTTGTATGCATTCGAAGTGCTTTTACGATGTTAGCATGTATTTAATACATAGTTCGTACTTACTGTAGAATTTCAAACATAAAAGAGTGTTTGAATACGGACTAGAAATTATATTTTTTCCAAAAATGAAGAACCAATTAGAATAAATAAATGAAGGCTATCGAAAAAATTATATAAAAGAAAAACTTATAAAATAATAAGCAATTATAAATTGTGAATCATTTTAACCGCGCAAGTATAGAAATATAAAGTATAATATACATTGAAAAATGGACGAAATTATATCGACGGCAGAGAGAAACTTGAGAGAGGATTATTGTTGTAGTTAACATTCACTTCTTCAGAGGACGGTAGTGCGCGACAGCAACATTTTGCAGTTACAAATTTTAGATCGTCTTCTTTCAGATTTCTGTTGAGACCATCATAGCTCACCATTTCAGTTGCTCCAGTCTGACAGTCTGACTACGCCAGTAGGTTAGGTCGAAAGTTATCGTGACTGTGTTCGAGAGATAGGCTCTCTTTCTCTCTCGCATTCAAAATCGTGAAATCATGCTCGATCTTTTTACAATATTCAGCAAGGGTGGCATAGTGCTCTGGTGCTTCCAGAGCACATCTCAGATTTTTGCACCCAGTGTCAATGCCTTGATAAGAAGTGTTATATTGCAAGTGAGTCGCAAAAATACATTGACAAGCACACGTCTACGCCTGGCGACCTTTGACCCTAAATTGCGTGATGCATTTCCTCAATTTCCTTGCGTTAAATTTGCATTCGAGCCATTTAATTGACTTCTCGATAATAATCCCGTTTATTTAAAAAAAAAATGCTGCAACTCTATAAATATTTGTCCTTACATCTCTAATTTTAATTTTTTTCTTAATTTATTATTTTCATGAATAGTTGTATTATCTTAAAAAAAGTCGAATGTATAAAGCTTTGCTTAAAATCGTTTTAAGATGTTTAAATATTTTTTTAATATGCGAATTAATTATATATAATGCTAAGAACGAGATTGTTAGGTTAAATAAACCATATGGTTGGAAATCAAATTATCAAATATAATTATATATCTTGTGAAATATTCCTTATTCTGTACAATAAAATTAAAATTAAAAGAATATTATAAAAAAAACAAGTTTCTTATATTTTATATCTCTTTGAAAGTTTATTTGGATAATAATTCTTCTCAAAAATTAAATATCAGTATTGGTGGAACTGAAGCTTTTATATCTATATAGTACATACCCTTGTATGTGTATATATATATATTGTGTGTGTGTGTGTGTGTGTGTATATATGTATACATATAATGTATACTTTTATATAAAATATTAAATAGAACTAAATTGAGGAAATAGAATATTACAAAATAAAATATAAAAATATATTTTACCTCTGTTTTCCTTATAATATATGTTATTAGAATTCTCTTTCTAGAAAATTTAAGAAATAAATTATAATTTGTAAAAATTGATTTTTTTTTTTAGGAACGTACAGGGAATCACAGCTTCGAGCATGACTCTTTGCGACTACAATATAAACTCGACAATGAGTTTGAGTTGGTATTTGTAGTGGCATATCAGAAAATATTACAATTATCTTACGTGGATAAATTCCTGAATGACATCCATCTAGAGTTTAGGGATCGCTTCAAGAATGAGCTTGAAAACTCAAGCTGGTTCACTAACTTCGAATTTGAACATGCTTATCGTATGGTGCTTGAACGAGCAGAACACTGGTCACGTTCACAGGCTAAGATACCGAAGCAAATGCGTACCTTTGACGAGAGTCAAAAGTCCAAAAAGACTGTCGCTAGTATGATTGAAAGGAAAAACGATAAAGACGATAAGAAGCCAGGTATAGCCATAATTAACAGTATAACAATTACTTTGTAATGCAATAATAGTGTACATAGCTTTATCTATATTTGAGACAAATAAGCTCGAATTTTAAAATTTAAATAATTTAAAAGAAAGGCGCAAAAGAAGGGTGAATTTTATTTGTAGTCATTCATAATATTCAGGTTTGCTGTGTAGGGGAAAATTCAGAAATTACGAAAATAAAATTTATGCAATAACAACATCCTAAGGAAAAAAGAAGTATAGTATAGTAGAATAAAAGTGTAGGAGTATCGCGTGCTTGTTTTATTTTTGCGGTATGAGACAGTAAGCCAATTTATGTAACATTTAGAATTATAAGCTATTCTTATTCACTAATTTTCTCCTTCCAATCTGGATAATACTAAAACAATAGGGATTTTCTTCTTCGCTTCTAGGTAAAAAGAAGAAAGCAAATAACTGTAATGGGGATTATCATAGTAAGTAAGCTTTAATGTTTTATATTATAGTAGTTTATTAAATCCTTGCATGTGGTATAGTATTGCATATCTTAATATTTCATAATATGTACAATATTGCATGAATAAAATAATTAAATTAACAAACGTAACTTCATTAAAGTTTTGTTTGGAATGTTTCTCTTTATTCAGTGATTTGTATTAAATTAAATATATTTAAATCCTGCAGCAAAAATTCAAGATGTTCCAAAACAGGAATTGCCGAAACATCAAGTGGAACATAACGGAGAACTTGACGAAGAAACGCTGATCGCCAATCGTATGAAACTTGCTCAGAAAATGGCAGGACAAAAGAAAAAAGCTGACAAGCAGTAAGCATATATAATATTATTTTCTTAATTATATTAATATTAGGATTACATCACATTAATATTAGAAAAAGAAATTTTTCAGATTTTTTTTTTAACTGAATTAATCAAATATTTAATATAGATCATATTTTAATTCTATTTTTATAAAGAATTTTTTATTTTTATAATGACTATATATATATATAACGATAAATTTAAAAATTAAATAACATAAAAATGTTGTATTTTTGTATTAGGAAAAGTCCTAAACCTGAGAAAGCTGGCAAAAAACCGCGCATCTGGGAATTGGGCGGCACAACAAAGGATCTTGCTACGCTAGAACGAACTAAAGACAAACCTGAAGAAAATGATGACTATGTGGCAGCCAATACAGCTGTAATATTTTTTCTTTTGCATTCTTTTAATATTAAGTTTATTGAAGAATTTGCTTCCTATTTCTATTGACAAAAAATCTTATAATTTTTCTTATTAAATTTGATATCTCTAACTGATAATTAATTACGTTTTGTATCTTTCTATTTTTTATTTTTTGGAAATTTTTCTCTGTGTGTGTGTGTGTGTGTGTGTGTGTGTGTGTGTGTGTATGTGTGTGTGCGTGCGTGCGTGCGTGCGTGCGTGCGTGCATGCGTGCGTGCGTGCATGCGTAGGTGCAAAAATTTAAAAAATTTGTGTATCTGAATATATAATGATATATATATA